ATTTACTATTTGAGCATTTATTTTAATGTAGTACTATAAATTTATTAGAAGTTGCTTAATTTCGGATACTTAGTAATATTAGGGGTTGCTTATTTTCGGGGGTTGTTTATTTTCAGAAGAATACGGTAATAATATTATTTAAAACTATTTTCTTTTTATATTAATTTAAAAATTTCAGAAAAGTAAGTATATAATTCTTTGTTGATATTTGAAGGTTTATATTAAAAATTTTTTTTATTATAATTTATTAAAAAAATGTAGTCAAGATAAATTAATATTTTAAATTTATTTTGTAATTCTATATTAAGAGTAACTGAGCTAATAATATATGAAAAATTATTGTATTAAATTCTTTATTAAAGTAATTATTTATCTTTTTTATTTATTTTTTTTTGCTGATTATTAAATTATGAATTTTATTTTTCAATAAAATTACTAGTTTTTTTATATTATTTCTATATAAATTCTAAAATTCAATTATATAATTATAAGTAGGGTTAGAAAATTTGTATGTACTAAATAAAATTAACACTATACTTGTACTGTACTTATACTAATTTTATATTAATTATTACATTATACTAACTGTACTAACTGTATTATTTGTACAAATTACTGTACTAATCCCAACCCTGATTATAAGCCTTTTGTAATTTTTTTTTTAATTTTTTTACTTTGTTTTTTTAATCTTTTATATATTATTATATTTGTAAAATCTGATCATTAAGATTAATTTTTAATTATAATTTATGTTAGATTTCTAGATAATTAAATTTTAGAATACTTTTATTCTTATTAAGTTTAACTATTAAAGTAGAATGATCAATATTACTACCTTCATTAATATCAAATTAAAGTTACTTATTTTTTAAAAATCATTCATTATTCTAATTAAAATTTATAAGATAATAATAAAATTAATTAGTAAAAATAATTTGATTATATTTTTATAAATTAAATAAAATTTTTAAAGAAGAATAAAAGTTAATAAGTTTAAGAAAATAATTATGATATTATGCAAGCTGCTTAACTATTTGTTGATTACTATTATACTATCAGATTTGTATTTTTTTATTTTATAAGTTTTAAATTTAATCAACTAAATTTGAGAAAAATATATAAAAGGTCTCTTGCTCTTAGCTTTTGATAAGTAAATATTACAAAAAAGAATTATTTAAAATACTAGATTAATTAATAAATAATATACTATCTATTTTTATTTTATTTAATAAAATATATATAAATTACTTATTTTTAAGTTATATTTATTTATTTTTTTTTAAAAAAGTATGAATTCTAAATAATTATGAGTAATTATAAAAATAAAAATTATTATTATTATATATTTATATATTATCTAAATTATATTGAAAATTTAATAAAAAAAAAAATAAATGCTAACTATATATATATAATATCTAATCAAAATTTAAGAATTTTTGTATATTTGATAAATTCTTTAATTAAATTATATAATTAAAATGCAAATTAATGCAAATTTTTTTTAAAATCTAATTATAATATAAATAATAAAAAAAATTAAAATAATATAACTAATTTAATAATTATTATTAATTTAATAAATAAATTTAAATAAAATATTATTATAACAAAAATTTTAAATTAATTTTAAAAATATATAAATAAATAATTATAATTATAAAATTATTATTTAATTTTTAAGATATTAAAATGATAGTTAATAAATAGATAAAAAAAAATTTATAAGTTTATTTAATTATTTATAATTATATATATAAAATAATTCAAAATTATAATTAAAAAAATTTTAGATTTTTCTTTTTTTTATTAATATCTTTATACAGTTATCCTCTTTATAGTTACTCCTATATAATTACATTATAAAAATCTTTTATTATAAGTATATATTTCATAAGAACTATTACCTATTAATACTATATAAAAAACTTCTTTATAATAAAAGAAAATAAATTCTAAAAATTTTTAGATTTACTTTATTAAAAAAAATCTTATTTAGAATAAAAAGTAAAATTTTTATTTTTTTTATAATTTTTTCCTTTAATTATATAATAAAATAAAAAAAAATTAAATTTATAAAAAATTATTATATAAAATGCATTATTATTTTTATTTATTTATAAATAATAACTAATATTAATTTTTTTTAAAAAATAATATAAATATTAAAAAAGTTATTAATTTGTTATAGAATATAAAATAATATTATTTAAAAATTATATAAAATTATTAGATCATAACAGGAATTCTTTTATTAAATAATAATAATACAAATAATAATAAAATTCAAAATATTGGATCAGATAAAATAAATGTTATTTTAATGATTTTAAAGAAAATAATAATATAAGAAATTATTTTAAATTATTGAAAAAAATTTTAATTAAAGAAAATTTCATAAAAAATGAAATTAATTTAGTATAAATGAAAACTGAAAAAATTATAATGTAAAAGATGATAATTCTTATCAAGAAATACCTTTAAAAACTTTAATAAAAGGAATTGATAATTTTAAAATTTAATAATAATAATTTAAAAAGTATTTGCAATTACTAAAGTTATAAAAAATAGTTAAAAAATTAAAAAAAAACTTTATTTTTTAATTTTTTTTTTTAATGTAGATTAGTTATAATATTAAAAAAAAGTTTTTAGATAATAAAATATGTGATATTAAGAATATTTATTTTAATAAAAAAGAAAATTTAAATGTAAATGAATTTATTATTAATTAAAATTAATAAAATATATAAAGAATTGGTATTCACAATGTAGTTGTTGAATAAGATGGTAAAATTATTTTTTTATACGAATTATATAATTTTTTTTAAAAAAAACATACATAATCTAATATAATGGTAATCATAAAATGGAATTATGAATTGAAAAATGAAAAATTATGTATTTTTATAAAATGATATATAATTATAAATTAAAAACCTTTTACCCTTTCTTACACACATATATATTAAGTTATCTATATATCATTATATAGGTCATGGACTACCTCTAAAACTCTGTCAAATTTTTTTTTTTTTTTGATTTATACAAGCCGAACATGCTTAACTATATAATAATTATACTTTGATCAGCAATTTAAAATTTGACGATGTGCACTTAAAAATGGACATAGTCGTACAAAATGAAATATAAATTTTGCATTTTTTCTACAATTAAAAAAGTTATTACATTTTGCTAGTTTGATAAATTACAATAATGTTATACTGTAAATATGCACAGAACCTGTTTTTAGAGTTAATTAAAACGTCATGTTATTCCTCTGTAACAAATAAAACTTAATTTATTCAAAATTACTAAAGGAGGAAGTATGGAGTGATGAGCTTCGATTATCTTTCGTGATATTAATAAATTTGATTTTGATTGGTGCGGATAAACTCATCAGCTAGATTTTTAAAATCAAATCCAGGTTCTGAGAATTTTGTTATTCATGAATCCTGATTCCATACCTTGCTACATAAGTATTGCTATGAGTAGGTAACGGTAGCACAAGAAAAATGACAGTAACACTTGGACTTGGATAAGTAAAAATGGTTTTGGACCACTGCCTTACTCGATGCCCAATACAAACCAACCCTGCAAGGGATCCCCTTTTCTTAACTTTACGGCTTAATATTGCCTAATTCAACAAGGATTTTTAATTGTTACTTGTGACTTGTAATAAACAATCATTTTCAAAAACAAACATGCACCTTATAATGATGTGTAACAATAGATTTGATTAATCCGGACTTCTCATTAAAATGACCAATTTTGAGAGATCCCAAGTTCTGAAATAATAGCGGTACGATCTGTTTTGTTTCTCATGCGCAAACTACCTTTTGTCTTATTGAAGTCTATTGAAGCCTTTGCTGATATGCAGATAAAAAATTCGGAGATGAGTTTTTTTACTCACACGCCAATCGAATTGATCTAGGGGTTTAAAAATTCAGGTATCGACCAACTTCCTCTGAGACAATATTTAAAGGGCATGTTTCATTGAAAAAAGAAACATTCAATATTGCCAAAAAAAAAAAAAAATAAAAATGTAAATATTTAGCTAAAATACTTGTAATTATTTTTTTTATGCATTAATAAACTTCTTTTTTAACTATGATTTTTTTAGAAAAATGTCCAGAGCAGTTCTAATTCAAGCTATCGGAAATGCAAAACTTTTTTGGACAGCAAGCAACGCAACTAACAAAATTACGCTACGTCTGCGAGG